AACTTCACTATCGTTGCAAACACGTTCTCTAGATCTTGTTCGACCATTGTTAATGGAGCAGTCCTTTTAGCACGTGGACATTCGAATTCTTCTTGGTTACCAACAGAGCTGAGGAAATCAAGCTTCTTCTTCTTTGACCAAAACATTGGATGGTGTAACAACATTGATGCTTTCGGTCTTTCTTTCTCATTAGTACAGTTAAGCATTCTTTTAATAACATGAGATGCTTCAGGATCAAGACCGCTGTCCCATCCTTCCATATTATTATTCAAAATATTGGTTTCTGTTTTAGGTATGATTTCCAGCTCACTTTTGTCAGCGAAGTCCGCTGGACTGAATGGATGTCTGTTATCTTTTGACAAGATATAATGAAAAACAAGACCACACGAAAAGACATCCGATGACGTGGAATGTTCGTGAGTGGTAGATTTCATAACCTCCGGTGCAATCCAACCACGAGTCCCGACTCCGGTGACCATAACAGTATTGGAAGTAATGACGTCTACACGACGGCTCAAACCGAAGTCAGCAATCTTCAGGTAGAGTTGGGGATCAGTTTTGTAAAGAATGTTGCTTGGTTTGAGGTCGCGATGAATGATATTCTGCTCATGAAGATACTTTAGGCCGAATGCCACATCTCGGCAGAGCACTTTGGTTTGCCTTTGGTCGTAAACATTATTGGCAAAATATCCGCCCAGATCTCCTTCCATCAATTCCATAATTATAAAGGAATAGTCAGCGGTTTGAAGGAAAGTTAAATAACGAACAATATGCTCGCATTTAGGAAGAGAGGCAAAGCTTCTAATCTCTCGAATATCTTCTTCTCGATCCTGTTGCGTATAATGGACTCTTTTAACGGCTACTTCCATGCCGTCTTTTCCGTGAATGCCTACGAAGACTTGTCCAAATGCCCCACGGCCGATTTCCTTGTTATGATACCAATATGGTTCCTGGAAATTACAGTTGAGTCCTCTTGCAACTTCAGCTAGCTGGTTCTTGTGTTTCTGAGAGTGAGATGTCCAGGGTATGATAAAAGGTCTTTCTTCCATAGAGATAGGAGTAGAAAGTAGATCCTGTAGAGGTAGACATCCTTCAGCAACATCCAGGCAAGATTCACCGGACGTACCGTAGCGTAGAAGTTGTTTAGCAACTTCATAATGAACATCCATAGGGACAGGATCCAGGGACGGTTCACCATCATCAGTTACATCGAAAAATATACGAGGTTCAGCAAAATGACCAATGATATTCATGCAGCAGGAACGAAGAGGTAAGCTCATATCTAATGGGCGTCTTGTGGATTTGAGTTGTTTAAGCAATTTGTCAACTAGAATACTTTTCCAGGTTGTGTGAGTGACTTTATCTTTGCAGATTGCATTCAACACGCCCACCAAAGTTTCATCTTGTAGATTTTTGCTGTTTTTACAAGTAATTTCAATCAAACCATCAGCTAGCTCAAAACAGTTTTCCTTTATAAGAATGCTAATGATAGAATCTCCATTCTTGTCGCAAGTCCACAAATCAAAACCCATGTCAAGAACTGTTTCCCAAAACGTCGGTGCTTCATCTGGTGAAATGTCCGGATAAAAACAGCCGGGATTCTCAAGAAATAGAAAATTCTTTGCTGCTGAAAGTAAAGGCGATCGTCCTAATGAGTCTACATCATTCGTCTTTGCTCCTTCTCTAAACAAAAGCTTTACAGCAGTCCAGGTTCTACACATATGAAGAGGTGTTTCGGCCTTCAGATTTCTTGCATGATGCACAGCACCACAAAGCAAAAGCTGATCAAGTATCTCTTCTGAAGGTCCCTGGCAATTCAATTTCTCAGAAGCAAGCTGATTATTACGTTTCCCTGCTCTTGATTTTGGCTGTGATCCGGCCGCCCAAACATGAAGAGGAGTATTCAATTCATCGTTAGGTATGTTAACAATACGACTGAGTTTGCATCGTGAATTTGAAAACAATCGTAATAATTGAACTATAGATCGCTCTAAAGATTCCTCGTTTGAATCTCCCACACTTGAAAGCTTGATTAAGAGATGAAATACTGAATCGCCGGTTTGAGTGGTTCCTTTAACTATCGTTCTGTCTTTTTCAAGGAAAAAAATGCACATATCTGAAATGTATTCGTTATTAAGCCTTCTCTCATTATGGTTAACAGGTTTTGCTAGCATGAAGAGCAATGGTGTTTCATCATTGCAGTTTGTCTGGTTGATTTCCAATCCCTTTTTCTCCAACCAACGAAGAACATCAATAATACTTTTAGCTTCAACAGTGTTATCATACATCCCTAGTAAAGTGATGTGGTGAGCAATGGTGTTGCCTTGCTCATCACAAGTATTTGGATCCGCACCAAGTTCCAGAAGTTTATCGAGCCTTTTTGATAAATCAGATACTGACACAGAATATTCGTCTGTGTCGATCGAATCCACTTGGTATTGCAATAATCTGCATTTATTATCTTTCCTGAAGCTTACACTTTTCCTTGATAGTTTGATAGCATAAGTAAGCAATGTTGTGATGGACGTTTTTGAGATGGTGTTTACTGGACTTTTTATAAGTGGCAATTTACAGAATATGGCGTTAATAAGTGCATTCACTATTGTTTCTTTCTTGACTCCATTATCTTTTAATAAAGCACACTTTTCATACATTAAATTTTCATCGGCTCCACCGTTATTAATCCAGTGATGTATGAAATACGATAACACACTGACATTGTGTTTGTCGGTGAAATGAAGATTTGCACCATTTTCTACGAGATATCGAGCAGATAAGATGGATCCGACCAGCGCATAAAACAATGCTGTTCTGCCTTGATCATTCTTTGAGTCCACCGGTGCTTTACCTCTTTGCATTAATTCTTTGACCGACGCTTCATACCTCACATTGTACATCAAAGCTGTACTACCTTCGTCATCGCTCTTGCTTACGTCTGCACCTGCTTTAATCAGTTCATGAGTTAACATTCCGGCATCAAAACGAAAATCCTTATCGAAATCTGCTAAGCCAATATACATCAAGGCCACTCTTCCTTTTATATCCGTCTTGTTGACATCAGCACCACGTGTGATTAGTGCATCTGCAATAGTTGCCATTCCATTAATAACAGCCTTCATCAATGCTGTTTGTCCTTGATTATCGACAGCATTCAAATCTAGATCTTTACAGTACCTAATGATTGCAAGAGCGGTGTCTTCGTATCTCTTAGCAATAGCATGCATCAATGCTGTTTTGCCTTCTTTATCCTTGACGTTGACATCAACACCACGTTTGATAAGTGCAATTGAAAAAGTCATCATCTTATTTATAGTTATAGCTTTCATCAATGCTGTTTGGCCTTGATTATCGACAGCATTCAAATCTAGATCTTTACTGCACTCAATGATTGCAAGAGCAATGTCTTCGTCTTCCTGATCAATAGCATGCATCAATGCTGTTTGTCCCTCTTTGTCCTTTAAGTTGACATCAGCACCACGTTTGACGATTGCAATGGCAATTCCCGTCATCCCATATATAATAGCTTTCATCAATGCTGTTTGGCCTTTATTATCGACGCTATTTACACTAAATTCGTTACCAGTTTTACTGATTAGTGCAGTAGCTATGGCATCTCTCTTATAATCTATTGCATACTTTAATGCTGTTTTGCCTTTTTTATCTTTTATTTTGACGTCAGCACCATGTTTGATAAGTGCAATGGCAAATGTCATCTTCCCAACTATAATAGCTTTCATCAATGTTGTTTGACCTTGATTATCGACAGCATTCAAATATAGATCTCTATTGTGCTCAATTATTGCAAGAGCAGTTTCTTCGCCTCTCGGAACAAAATCATGCATCAATGCTGTTTTGCCTTCTTTATCCTTGATGTAGACATCAGCACCACGTTTGACAAGTGCTATTGCAATTGTCGTCATCCCATCTATAGTAGATTTCATCAATGCTGTTTGGCCTTGATTATCGACAGCATTCAAATCTAGATCTTCACTGTGCTCAATTATTGCAAGAGCAATGTCTTCAACCCCGTGATCAATAGCATGCATCAATGCTGTTTGGCCCTCTTTGTCCTTAAAGTTGACATCAGCACCACGTTTGATAAGTGTAATGGCAATTCTCGTCATTATATTAACATAAACACGTCTCCGTAGCAATGCTGTTTCGCCTAAAAGAACGCTATCGTACAGTGTATCGTCAATTCTCGTCATTCCATAAATAACAACTTTCATTAATGCTGTTTGGCCTTGATTATCGACAGCATTCAAATCTAGATCTTTACAGTGCTCAATGATTGCAAGAGCAGTGTCTTCGTCTCTCTGAGCAATAGCATGCATCAATGCTGTTTGGCCTTCTTTATCTTTGATGTTGACATCAGTACCACGCTTGATTAGTGCACTTGCATTAGGCGACATTTTATTAACAGTAGCTTTCACTTCAGCACCACGTTTGATAAGTGCATCGGCAATTGTCGTCATCCCATATATAATAGATTTCATCAATGCCGTTTGGCCTTGATTATTGACAGCATTCAAATCTAGATCTTTACTGTGCTCATCAATTATTGGAAGAGCAGTGTCTTCGTCTCTCTGAGCAATAGCATGCATCAATGCTGTTTGGCCTTCTTTATCCTTCATGTTGACATCAGCACCACGTCTGACTAGTGAAATAACAAATCCCGTTATCCCATGTATAACAGATTTCATCAATGCTGTTTGGCCTCGATTATCAACAGCATTTAAATCTAGATCCTTGCTGTTCTCCATTATCGCAGGTGCGGTGTTTTCATTTGCAAAAGCTATGGCATACATCAATGCTGTTTTGCCTTCTTTGTCCTTGATGTTGACATTAGCTCCACCATTCATTAACGAGATCGCCATTTCAGGTATAAAGGACCGATTTTGGGCAACAATCATTAATGCTGTTTCACCGTTTTCATTTACCGCGTTGACATTAGCTCCGCCTTTTATAAGTCGATGCATTTTTTTTAAGTGTCCACATCTTGCAGCTTGCATCAATGAACTTTCAGTAGAATCTACGTCCGGCATGTTGGAGTGTTATAGCGTTATTTATGAGATTTTAGTTAGTTAATTATGAAATGCTCCAGTTTTGTCGGTGCACATACATTCCTTACAACAGATCATGGTGAGGTCTGCACCTCTATTTCTTTGTGTGAAGGACACTTTATTTAATTTGAATGAAGATGGCTCGTCTTGTCGGCATGACCGTTTTGATATCAAAACGTTTCCCAACTTCATCGTTGAATATTATTCACATTCAAAGCTATGCACGTTGTGATGGATGTCTTGTTTTTCGTGGCAATAGCGGTTTTGATTGGATTGCTGCCGTGTCTTTATTAAACTAAGGTGCAACAAACATACATTTAACTTATTGTCGAATTTTGACACTTATTTTAAATTTCCTGTTTGTTATCTACGTTTTTGTTTGTTCATATTTGCTTGATATTTTTGTTTTATTGTTTCTGAAACTGCGACAAATCTGCAGAATATTTGTCTAAAAAGTTTGTTTATAGCTTAATGACAATTGTTTATATACGTAGAATATTTTTGACATTACGCACGATAATCATCATTGCATTTCACTCTTCATCTACAGTTTATAAAAAAACGTAAACAACTATATGCTAAAGAGTGGAAATCTCGATTTCCTGACATTTTTCACATCAAAAACAGGTACTGGTTCTTTCTTGGTTTCAGTTGCATACATATCACGTGCCATATCATGAAATTGATATTTTTCCAGTGATGAGAAATTTGCGACAAACAATCGCCTAGAAAATGTACGTCTGAAACAAGGCTTTTAAAGTGTGGAATATACAATGATAGTATAAAATCTAAGTTCTTATATCATAAACGAGCTAATGAGATACATAAATTGGAGAAAAATAGACAAGAAACTGAACAACTTGCTCATTTAGGCATTGATGAATAGGCTTTCAACTAGTTGAATGTTAAATGACAAATTCTGCCTATATAACTTTGTGAACAAATCAATATTTGTTACCTGTTTTTCCTCTACATCTCGAATATTCTTGTTGAGTTTACTGTAAAATGTAAGAGCTTAATTTTATTAAAAATGATATTATACTACAGTGCCAATACATACAGTTGGATATAGTGGATTGATAGCGAATGTTATCTGGAGTTAATGATCATCAATCGATTCTGCAGGCAGACCTACGTATTTAACGTTTTATGGTCAAAACGGATTATATTTTTTTAGTTAGGAAATTTTTATTTTTCTGCTAAAAATTCGTAGAAAGTATTCATAATAATAATAATAATGTGCAATTTATATAGCGCAAATATCCATACGTTCATATGCGCTTTACAGCAAGAAGATTTGAATAACAATAAAACTTTTAAGAAAGTAAACAATATAACAATAATAATGACATTGACAATAATTCCTTGCCTAGAGAGTTCTTTTTCCTGAATTTCTAGCTGGTAAACCAGTTGTGACTTACAGCTGGCTGGGACATAAGAACAGATATATTTCTCCAAGGAACCCGTCGGGTCCTCCTAAACTTACATGTAATGAGTTATAGCCGAAGACCCTGTTTTGCCCTTTTTTACAGCCTGATTAAACAATTGTGAAAAGGTTTGAAAACTCTGCTAAAACTGGTTATGTTCTATCTGAGCGTTGCTTGTCTTCAATGCTGCTTGCAATTGTGACAAGGACCTAGTGAGGTACAGTGAACTATATGGTTGTACCGTTTGGACAATTGCTGGACTGTACATAACATGTGTATTTTAATTGATTACATTTGCTTATTTACCTTTTATCAACTGTGCATCAAACGATATTTTTTTTTTTTTTTTTTTTGGGGGGGGGGGTCTGTTTGGCAATTAGATTCGTAGATGAGCCTCCTGAATGAAATTAAGAAATGAAAAGTTTGTTTAGTTAAGTTTTTGTTTAAGTGAACAGTCAAGGCACTAGATCATTTCTTGCCTTCCAATCTTTCAAGTTGATCTTTGGAAAATTGATCATAATGCACTAGATTACTGCAGTATCATGTGGTGAAAACCTGTAAAGACAACAAGCAAGTTAGACTCAATACCTGCGCAAAACATACAAAGTAACTTCAATAAAGAATTTTATTTATAGCTTGATTCAGATTGCGCTCGACCAAGAAAAACGCATTTTAGTAATTATGAAACATTTAACTGCCTCAATCAACAACAAAACCTTCAGATGAATCACGCACAACCGTTTCAAACTATCCAAGGTATCTTACCTTTTAGCTTAGGTGCTCGCTGCTCGATCTTCAGTAGAAAGTGTGAAGGAAGCAAACGACGAAGGGATTATTTGATCACTGAACCGTGATACCATATAAGGGCTTGGAATGTTCTATAAGATTTTATTAAGGAGAGAAGGACACACTCTCAAGAGCTCAAGAGAAATACTAATTCGTTCAAAGTCCATTTCTGTCCATCACTAGATATACTGGTAAACTTATTGGGCAATAAAAAAGATCATACCACGTTTTATTAGAATAACAAATCTTGCTGAGAATAGCTCAACCGTGTTGTCTTGTCAAATTACTAAATCAAAACAGGTCACATGCAGCGTGTTTGTCAATATCAAACTTTGAGCCTCACGGGAGGTATTTCATGAACAAAGGGTTCTGATATGAGGGAAATTTCCCTATAACTTGTATTCTTTCAACGATGTTGGATCAATCTTCTGTTATTTGTCTATGAAAAAAAGGAAAAGTTGACAAATTCAGCTCTTTTTTACAAACTTGGTCACCACTATGAATTTTCCGCCATTTTGTTTTTGACTACGATAAGCCGCTGACCTTAATACGAAGACGCGAGCCAATTTCCCGAGCGATGCACGTAGGAAGGAGTAGGAAGACAGTTGGTGCGCCTGTGATCACTATAAACGGGGCCAGTAGTAATAGCAGTCAACAAGGAAAAACAGAGCAAAATATCGGACAGAGCGTTTTAATGCGAAAACATGGTACAGGAGTATTTTGGTAAGCGTCGTATGACTATCACATGAGGGAACGCTCCATTGATGCACAGCGAAGGACACTTTATTTACTTCAAATTATCGAAGTTTCTAGAACTATACTGCAAACGTCAGTCCCATCTTTAGCGTCTGATGATATACTGACTTGTATGTAGACAATTTGTAAGTTATCGAAAGATAATCAGCTTTTTAGATGGCTTAAACCAAGATCCATTTCGATTTATGTAGACATGTTGACTTCAGTGTTGTCATAATAAGCCTCGTCGCCCGAGGGAGCTATTTCATCGAACAAAGGGTTCTTACAGTCTACTAGTCAAGGGAATTTTCCCTAATCAAATTGCATAACTTGATATGTAAACAATATCTGAGAATGAAAAGAAAAATAAAAAAATGAGAAAAGGTGGAAATAATATGAACTATTTTCCCTATTTTACAGATTTTTCTTATCCTCTTTGTTATTTATTTTCTGTTACTAATATTAATACTTACTTATTTAYTAATACCAATATTGCATGTTTATAGTTAATTATTCTGTAATAAACTTTCATTGTTACTATAGTAAGATTAAAGACTGACTCCCAAGTCGTAAATTTTGCTTCTTTGATTTGTCACTTAAACTTGCTAAAACAACAGTATACGTGATCGACCAAAAAATAAATAAACAATCGAGAAGCGCACTGGGACCGACTTATGGAATAGTCTAACGCATATTTCCTTTGCTATTTCCAACTTTTAGAAAACAACTTTTACAGTAAAATTGCAATAGATATGCTGTATACGTTTTATAGGGAGAAATAATCCCTTGTCGAGCAAAGCAGTTTTAAAAGAACAATATGCAAATTCTAAAATCCATGTAAACCCCCTATTTTTCCATTTTTTGTCTAATTTGATTCRAGAAATTGATTCATAAGATAATAAGTCTATCTGAAAATACAAAATATCTCAGATTAATGGAAATATCCCTTGTAAATATAGTTTTCTGAGTTGTACTAAATCTCTTTTCACTGGAAATGGGATAGCCGGAGTAGCGKCCGTAAGGGGAATGGGGAGGGCCGARCRGAGATTTCGGAGGACAATCCCCAGTCTCCTCTGAGMCCACCCCAGTCCCCTTATGGCTACGCAGCCTARAAACGGGAAGGAAAATTGCTATACATTCWGGCCWCACTCGCSCATTTCTTTGTACATTCACCATGYTACTGAAGAACTTTYAACGATYAATATTTGCTGAAAGTTTTCCTTAAATCACATTACGAAAGGTTCTCTTGAAAAGATTTCTTTCATAACCATGATAGCAGAATTCGCTATTTTTATAAACTAATCACCAAGGTTGACTGTGCAAGTTTGTACTTTGAGAAGATTAAAGAATGCAATGAGTCCAAGTGAAACTACTTCAGTCATTACTGAGGAGGAAGTAGAAGTTCTCATTACGTAATAATGACGTAATATACACGTCACATATGCATCACCATGGCAGCCTGATCATTCAGTCGACGAATGACGTCTTCCTTTTGTTCGGGCCATTGTAGCATATTATGGTTCATCCAAGGGGGGAGCTGCTTTGTGGTCATTTTGGGATCCATTTTGACACAAACAATACGTGACGTAGAGCARTTTTCGGAGTAGACGTCAGAGATCCTTTTGATCTCATAGCGCACGCGCACTAGGTCTTCTTTATTCACGTGACTAAGTTTATTGTCCACTGCACTTGTTGCTAAGGACTGCCAGAGTCGTACGTATCCAGGGCTGCAGAAAACGATGTATTTCTTGGCTTCAAGGATCTGCTTGTCCACCCACATGTTGAATCCAATCTCGTTCATGTGAACAGAATCRACTTGATCAAAGACGATCTGAAGTACAGCAAATAAAAAATTGTGAATATCGTCACATTATTGAATTAATATCATATATTATATAT